ACTGGCTCCACCGCCATTTCATCGCGAACGTATTAGAGGCCGCCTCTGACTCAGAGAAACCACTGATTGTCAGGAGACCCTGAGTATATTTCTTTGGCAGCTAACGCTGTCGTCATTGATGTCCGCGGCGCACCGATGGCCTACCAGGGAAAGCGCACTATCGCCTCCGGGCTAAAAAACGAAGCCGGCCTTCGGCCCTCCGCATCACCACGACCATACCTGCTTATTCAGTTAGTGGAAAACATACGGTAGTCAATGACCGATCTCGGGAAGACCATTTTCGGATAGCAAGGGCTATTTGAGTAGAGCTGTAATACGGAGTGTCATGCGGCATGGTCGCGGGATATTTTGGACGTGCCTGGATATCCGCTTTTGTGTGCACTTCTTTGCAACCGCACGCAAAATTCGCACTCATTGAAGAAAAGGACTACTTATATGGATTTTCTTCCGATTGTTCAATGACCTTATAGATTTGAATATGTTTATGAAAAATGTGCACAAGGATATTATTGCTGTACTCTTTTGGTAGTTACTCTGTCAAAATCTGTACTCGAAAAAGGGGTATCTTTCCACTTTTTCAGAAATTCCATTCATGAGATTTTCAGGACTGCAGGATGTCCGGCCATACAGCATCGCATCAGCACGATATGCTTGTGAAGTATACAACACGGCCAGCATCCATTGCGAAATTTCATGGGCCTATATGACGTCTTTTTAATAACACAGAGGAATGCGTGATTTGCCCTACACGGGAAGCGCATAGTATGGAGTTTTTAAATCCTTAGCGCAAGTGCAGCTGTGGGTTGAGTTCAAAATCGTTTGGAAATGGAAAAAGATACCCTTTCTTAGACTACAAAATAGGAAGAAATGCCTTGCTATCAAATGAGTACAAGGAAGGATATTTTTGTGCACGCCTCCTACATATCATATTAGAATATATGCGGCTATCGACGTCATTGGAGGGAATGCATACTACTTAAGTAGCCATTTACTATCGGGTGTGGTTCTCGCAGGCGGCCGAATGAAAATGCATTCAAAAGCCGACATCCCGAAATGAGTGCAATACAGCGGGTTTATGTCGCACGGTAGTCACTGTCATAGCCCAACTTGAGTAATTCTTTCTAATCGAAAGCCTATTTCATAATTTCGGTTGGCATCGGTCACTGAGTGCTCGTGGAATCGTCCACTTCTGCGGCGTCTGGGTCTTCACGGGGGATGCACAGTAGACTAAGCGTTTACTTTATCAATTCCAATCCGGGCCCACACACTCGCTTTGTCTTCTCCCACAAATATCATTCTATTTAATATTCACTTACATTCCAACTGTCCGGACTGATTATTTTCCACCCAGTGGCGTCTACAGGCAATCAGCCCGTAGTTCTTTCTTCGTGGGATACAGTCTCGCCAGCGGGATACAGACTGAAATGCCGGTTCGGACAGCCTTCCGATCCTAGGCTAATGCCCCAGAAAGTCCGC